CATATATTTTTCAATCTGTATGTTGAGCAAATATCCCAAGAAGCTAGATTATATGAGAGGAACAAGGCATCAGGACTGGAGGAAGACTCATTAACAACCTACAATATGCAGATGATAGAACCTTGTTTGCTGAAAACGCACAGACTTAAAATAGTGATGAAAATCATCAAAGACCACAGTCTTCAGTATGGACTGCCTTTCAGTGTAAAGGAATAAAAAATAAATGGAGATTCAACAGACTCTTGTGAACCTGGGTGGAGACCTGGTTAGCCAGCCATGTGGTAAGACCTGGGGACTCTTGGGCCCAGAGTCAGTGACATAGCCACAGAGAACTAGAGTGGAGAGTGAAGCGTCCAGCTGATAAGAAGAGAGGGCATATGCACAAGAACACCCACACTTGCAGACAATACCCACTTGACCTGGCTTCAATGACTGGATGATCAGAGCTCAACTAGAAGAAGAAAGAAGAGGAAAACAAAGAGTAATCTGACAGAATTTGATGAACTTGATCTACACCTATGGATGCAGTAGCTTAAAAGAGGGAACAAATCTTCACAGCAAGAATCAATCCCACCCCCTTCATATACAGAGTATACAGGGATGGCAAATTGGACACTGGCTACCCAAAATGTGTGTGTGTGTGTGGGGGGGGGGGGGGGGGGGGGGAAGTGGTTACAAAGGCAAGAAGTGACTGGCTTACAAGCTTTCAAGAGGAAACCTAGATCCAGAGGGCATGGAGGAAGGTAGAATCTCCACTGAGTAGTATCCAATCTGTCTAGGCAGGGCTAATTAAAGGAAATGTGAATAGGTCTCTTGTGATACAATAGTGAATAATTGTTATCAGGACTGATTGTGAAGGTTGGAAATGTAAAGGTAGACGTTTTGTAGCAAGGAGGGCAGTGACTAACTTTGCAGTCTAGGAGCGGAGGTCCCTGGGACCATCAAGGGAGAAAAGCGGAGAGCAGGACCCTACCCAGAGAAGCAGTGAGGCCTGAGATGGAGGCAGAGATGATGACAATGATGATGGAACAGTTGGGGACTTTAGACCCAGAAAGGGAGACGGGCTGTGTGCTGATGACCGGAGGGCAGGCTTGTAGGGTATACCCTTTGGTTGGCTGATGATGCATAGAGGGGATTGTAGCCATGGCAATGAAACGATATACGATAGGATGAATGTAAAACCAATGTTCTCCCATGTAAACTACCACACATAATTCACAATAAAACATTTTTTTTTTAAAAGGAGGAAAAAATTAATCTGTTAAAATCTTCATTTTGCTTGGATCCACTCTCAACACTCATGGAAGCAGCAGTCAGGAAATCAAAATGACGTATCAGGCAAATCTGCTACAGAAGACCTCTTTAACGTGTTCAAGAGCAAAGATGTCAGTTTCAAGGACTAAAGTGCGCCTGACCCAAGGCCTGGTATTTTCAATAGCTTTATATATATATATATATATATATATATATATATATATTGAGAAAGCTGAACAGTGAATATGAAGGTTTGTAGAAGAATTGATACATTTGAGTTAGAGAAGAATATTGAAAGTACCATGGACTGCCACAGGAACAAACAAATCTGTGTTGTTAAAAGTACAACCAGAATGCTCCTTAGAAGCCAAGATGGTCAGACTTTGTCTCTCATACCTTGGACATATTATCAGGAGGGACCAGTCCCTAGAGGACATCATGCTTGGTAAAAAGGAAGACCTCCCCCAATGAGATGGATTGGCACAATGGCAGCAGCAATGGGCTCAAGCACACCAACAATTGTAAGGATGGTGCAGGACTGAGCAGTGTTATGTTATGCTGTGTATAGGGTCTCTATGAGTTGGAACCAACTCAATGGCACCTAACAACCACCCCCACCCTGGTCAATTTACCACCAGACCTGAAAGGCTGCTAGTTCTGAGTGGGGCTAGGAACAAGAAAAGGCCTGGCATTAGGTTCAGGCTGTTGTGCAAGCTGGTCTGCCGCTGGGTCACATGATATGGCAGCTCCAAGGGTGTATACAGAGTCAATGGCAGGTAGATATGCTGTCTGGAGATTTGGCAGGCCCCTACAGATGAGTCATAGATTTATGATTCTGAAGCAAAGCCCTGCCACCATCTGCAGATAACTTATTCTCCTTTTGAGAAACAGTTTTTGGCTTTCTATTAGGCTTTGCTAGAGACTGAACATTTAACCAGAGGCCACCATGTTACAATGCAACCTGAGCTGCTCATCATGAACTCACTGGCCTATAAAGTTGTATTGCACAACAGCACTCTACCATTAAATGGAAGTGGTTCAATCAAGCCCAGAAGACAAAGTAAGCTACATAAACAAGTAGCCTAAGTGCCCATGCCCCCCACTCCAGCTACATAACCTTTTCTCTCCAGCCCTCACCTATGACCTTACGGGATTTCTCTATAATTAGATGACTAAGGAAAAGAAAACTTGGACCTGGTTTGTAGATGGTTCTGTGTCATACTCAGACACCACCTAAAAGTGAACACCACTGAAAGTAAAGTGGTAAAGGGAAATTGTCCCAGTGGGCAGAACTCTGAACAGTGTATGGTTACCCACTTTGCTGTGAAGGAGAAATGGACAGATTTGCATTTTTATACAGATCCATGCGCTGGTGTCCAAAGGTTTAGCTGGAAGGTCAGGGCTATGGAAGGAACATGATTGAAAAAGGGGTGACAAGAAGATCTGTGTCCCAGGTGAATACTGACAGTAAAAGGGTGACCTCAGCAGAGGAAGATTTAGTGGCTAGGATGACACAGTCTGTGGATACCCGTCAACCTCTTTCCCTAGACGTGCCTGTCACTGCCCAATGGGTTCATGAAAAGTGTCCATGTGGCAGCGACAGAGGTTATGTATGCTCAGGAGCAGGGACTCCAACACGGCCATAGTCACTGAGAAGTGCTCAATCTGCCAGCAGCAGAGACCAACACGGAGTCCCTGATGCAGCGCCTGGTGGCAGTCTGACTACATGAGATAACTTCTATCAAGGAAGGGACAGCATTGTTTTTTACCAAAACAGACTCATTCTGGACTCCTGCTGGCTTTCTCTGCATGTAATGCTTCTGTCAAAACTAACATCTATGGACTTAGAGGAAATCACTTCACAGAAAATGAAGTGTGGTGATGCTCATAAGCACTGGACAACAGGGTTGGTTTGAACGGCAAGGTCAGCAGTTTAAGCTCACCAGTCATTCCTCAGAAACTATACAGGGTAGCTATGAGTTGGAATCGACTCCACAGCACTTAACAACCACCACCACCACATTTCCTATCATCCTGAAGTAACTGGCTTTAAAAGAGAGTAAAAAAGCCTTTGGAAGATATTATTAGAGCACCAATTAAGTGGAAATACCTTTCAGGGTTGGTACTAAAACCTTTTGATGGGTTAATGTGCTGGACTGCAAAATCGGTTTAAACCGTAAGGTTGGCAGTTCAAGCTCACTAGCTACTCCTCGGAAACCCCATACACAGGGTTGCTATGGATTGAAACAGACTCAATGGTACTAACAACATCATATCTCAGCTTTCCTTATTTCTAGGTGACCAGTAGTAAAAGTCTAGACTACTGCCACCTTCTTCCTACATTTCTTCCTTTTTTCTAATCTTTTTTATTCCAATCTATTGTACACTACTGCCCATATACACACTTCCTATAGCAGCAGTACTAGGAGGGTTTGCACAAGGAAAAAAGTACTTCGCCGTGGGTTCCTAAGTAATCACTGTTAGGAAAGCTATGATGCTGAGCGTATGGAGGCTGAGTTTCAATCTTACAAATATAAATGCAAATCATATTAATTATTATGAGAACAACAAAATATTATAAATTGTCTTTGAGTAAGATTAGCAGTTTGGGTTAATGCATCAGACTGCACAGTCGTTTGAACTGCAAGGTTGGTGGTTCAAGCTCACTAGCTGCTCCTTGGAAACCTTATACAGGGTCACTATGGGTCAGAATCAACTCGACAGCACTTAACAACAACAACTACATCAACAATCACTACTAACATCATTGGGGATTTGATTTAGTAAAAAAACCCATCAGTCTTTGTTCTGACAGTATAAAAACTTAAGTTCATGCAGTCCCAAGTTATCAATCAATGTCCAGCTTAAGGACTCCTACTTGCCATTTAACATTTGATAAATTTGCCCTCAATCTGAAATGACTGAACCACCCCTACAGGCAACAATTCTTTATCACAATTACCTTCATTTGCTGTACATACAACTTTTAAAACACGGAAACGGCACTGAGCCTTTTCTTGCAATAAAGTAAGGCTAACCAAGAGCATTTTCTTACACTAAAGTAAGCCTCTCTAAGAACCATATGCACCTTAAATCCAAATTCGGACTTACCTACAAATTCCACTTAAAGACTTAATGGCAGATTTAGGAATGGATCTCAGCTCTTGTTCCTAACCTGGTGGCTGCTAGTAGTCACTTAACCTCTCTGACCTCTAGCCCGATTTGTTAAATATAAAAAGCTGTGTGTGCCATCATGCCATGTTTCCAAACCCTAGAAGGCGTCACTACTTGAGTTCTTTCCAAATGAACCCAGATCAAACCTAGTCACCAAGGAAATGAACATCCATGGTGGAACCTTTTAGTCATTCTCGAACTATCTAATCTCTGGAGTTCCTCCTAATTTTAAAGATCTGTGAGTCCACACGATATAGAAATCTCTAAAGCTCTAGAAATCCATATAAAATTCTAATAATTTAAAATTTATAATTCACATACTTCCAGAAATCTAAAAAATATTCTGAAAAATTATTTTTGTACAGCTTTATAATTTGTTTTGAATTTTAAAATTATATTCTTAAACAAATGCCAATGTGATCGTTTCATTAAGAATTCATGTATTTTGGAACATTACTAAAATGTGTATATAAAAGTTATACATCTACACATCTACTCTTTGGAAAGTAATTTCTGGAAACTTGAACATCATGAAACTTTTTTTTTTTTTTTTTTTTTTTTTTTACATTTACCTTTTTTCTTCTTTTGCTCTCAGCTGTTCTTCCTGTCTCAAAACTTGAACCATTATAGATTCAAACACTCCACTTGTCAAGCCTGCCAAACTTCGAGGTGTTGACCGACGCCTTGTTGAAGTACATGCAGTTCCCTTCTCATCCTCCAATCCATAATAGCCTCTAGATGTAACTGCTATCGTTGTCTTTTCTCTCAAGTGCCTTGGAGAAGAATAAGTCAATTCACAAGGTCAAATCTTCTGGATAAGCAATAAACCCCTTAACCAGCATCTTAAGAATTCCTTTTAGAGGTAGATCTTGATGAAACTAACAGCTACAGAAAAAATATTTAGTTAAACCTTACTTAACTAGTCTCCCTCCACAGTTTTTGGTGTGTTGCTACAGGATGAGCAGAGCACTGGACTGCTAACCACAGGGTCAGCAGTTCAAACTCACCAGCTGCTCCTCAGAAACCCTATACAGGGTCACTGTGAGTCGAACCAACTTGACAGCACTTACTACCAACATATTTTCCTCTACTCATGTCATGAAATCACATTCCAATATCAAAAAAATCCATTGGGCCAAAGCATTAGAATTAAAGAACAAATCACTATCTCCTTAATGAGAGGGTGGGGTGGGGGCGGAAGTTTACTGTCTGCAAAATTAAATGTATCTCTTCCCTTTAAAACTCTGCATATATTTCACACTATCTATCACTGGTATAAGGAGCTCTGGTGGTGCAGTGGTTAAGCACTTGGCTGCTAACTGAAAGGTCAGTAGTTCAAACACACCAGCTGTTCTGCAGAAGAAAGATGTGCCAGTCTGTTTCCTTAAAGATGATGGCCACGGGGACCCTGAGAGATAGTTCTACTCAGTCCTATAGGGCTACTACGAGTCAGAATCAACTGGACAGCAATAGATTTGGGGTTTTTAAATCGCTGGTATAGGATAATGTACAAAAATATATACAAGCAGTTTGAAGAAATTATAAACAAATGAAACTCGATTAATACAAACTTTTACATTGGAAATATGGATACCTTCTTACTAAACGGTTAAAAGAGTCTAGGAACTACCTCTATCACAAATGTCTTCCTTCTCTACTATGCTGTCTATTGAAACCCTGAGAACTAATCAAATCTTTAAAGATAATGACGACAAAGAGTTTCTTGAATCTAGAAAATTACAAGTTGACCGAATAATCATGTTTCCCAGCTAGAGGCCATATTAAGTCACAAGGCTAAATCTTTACGTAAATGAATCAGAGACTGACATTTTATGCTTTAACCTCAGCCTTATAAAAATTATTTTTAACAGTATTTTCCCAGAACAAACACCAAGAAACAATTAACATTCTTCATTATTCACCAAAGATAGAAAGTTTTGATACGTATTGCTAGTAAAACCACTAAAAAAAAAATACAGAAGACACTTCTCTCATGTCAAGATTAAAAACACCGATATGACTAAGTACTGAGAAACTATAAAGAACAATTCTCATACTACATTGTTGTTGTTGTGAAGTACTGTTGAATTGGTTCTGACTCATAGCAACCCTGTATAGGCTTTCTGAGGAGCAGCTGGTGGGTTTGAAGCGCTGACCTTGTGGTTCACAGGCCAGTGTTTATCCTCCTCACCAGGAGTCCTACGTTGTTGTTAAGCGTGCTCAAGTCAGTTCTGACCCATGGCAACTCTGTATAAGGTTTCCAAAGAGCAGCTGATGAGCTTGAACTGGCGACCCTGTGATTCAAATTGACTTTGCAGTCCAGCGCATTAGCCCACAGCACCACACCAGGACTCCTCACACTAGTTAGTGGACATGTAAACTGGCACAGCCTTTCTGGAAGCTAATTAGGTAGTAGTCATTAAAATTTCACATGCACATATCCTTCAACCCCTCATGCTTCAAGAAGTCTACTGTACAAACACATGTCCACAACTATGAGCAATAAAACACAAACACACTTATGGTTGTTGCGAAGTGCCGTTGAGTCAGTTCTGACTCATAGTGACCCTGTAAAGAGTTTCCAAGGAACAGCTGCTAGGTTTGAACCACCAACCTTGCGGCTAGCAGTTCAGTGCTTACCCTACAGTACCATACCAACATTGCTTACTATTTAAATATATAATACAATACAAAGTCCTTATCATTACATACACGACCTACTATGATATGGCCCCTGTCTACTATAAAATACATACTGATCTACAAGTAACTGTACATACATTGGGAAATATATAATCATTTTTACGAAGTTAGATCATAAATGTTTGGAGACCACTGCTTTCATCTGTATAAGCTACCTGACGCCCCAAAAACGTTTTTCACAATAAATCAGTCTGCATGCCCATTAAAAAAAATAAAGCATTTGTCAGACTATGAAACTTCTGTCCTGCTCTCTGACTTTTTTAGCTTCCATCCTCCCAGTTATTATCCTTATTGCTCCTTCACCTACTTGTGTTCGCGCAGACTTCTGGTTCCTCACCTGACTCGTCCTCTATCACATTTCACCTTCTTCCAGCTATTCCCAAAGGTAATTGGTTTGGATCCTAGAATACATACATGACTAATCTCTTATATAAACACCCTCATCTCCTTTGTCCCATTATCTTTTTGTCTCAGATACCCTATATCCCTCCAGCATCTTAGCCAAGAGTACCTTCCCCCTCCTATGCCTCCACTACTAAGCACTATAGGAAAAAATCACTACCCCATACTCTGTTGTCTAACTAAATCTCAGCTGGTCTCTCAAGCCAGCGTAAAGCTTCTTTGAAGAAAGTCAACTACTGGCTTCATTCTCCAAAAAAGCGATTTCCAATGTGGCCATATCCAAAAGCTCCACCCCACCATCCACCACTACTCAGCAGGCTGACCATGTCACCCACAAATTTTACCGAGAAAGTGAGTTCTGAACTAAGAGGGTCATTACTTTCCTGCCCCTAAAAATGCAAAATTACCTGAATCTACACTCATCCTTACTTCTAAGTTTCAATGAAAAACTGGCCCTTTCCTCTTACAAAACCTCCCCAAACTAAACTATCAGAATTTGTGTTTTATTCATTTTTTTTCTGCATCTTTAACCTTTCTATATGAACTAGTTGCATTTAACATATGAATATATCTATGTTCAAGTTAAATCATATTTTCCTATTGAATTGCTGTCCTATTGGGATACTTTGAGCATACTAGCTTGAAGTCCTTATGTATGTGTTCAGGATGGTGTACTGACATGCATGTATAAACCGATCTGTAGGTATATGTACATGAAAGGGTTTCAAAAGTTCATGGAAAAATGGAATTAAAAGATAATTATATTTTTCCACAAAGTCTTTGAGGTGTTGAAAATACATCTACTCCTCACTTATCAACGATCTCATTATCTGGCATTTTACATTTACAACAGTAAAAATATACTCTCAGACTCTTTTGTGCATTAAGGATATACATCTGGCAATAATGAATGATGTGGTACCAGGTAAGAGTTAGCTGTGATGGCTAAAATTATGTGTCAACTTGGCTGGACCATGATTCTTAGTGGTCTGGCAGTTATGTAATGAGGTTGTCATTTTCCATTTTGAGATCAGATGTAGTCAACCTCCACTTTCATATAATGACAGGTCTTTGGGAACGAACATGTAGATGAGTGCCGATATGTGTTACACACGTATCCACATGTATAACAAACCACGCAGGGGGCACAGTTAGAGGCTTCCTAGACAGATCCAAAGACCGTGCAAGACTGGCTTCCTGGGTATAAAAAGCTTGGGACCAGAGTATTCAGGGGACAACTTAGTCAACTGGCAAAACGTAGTTCACAAAGATAATGTTCTACATCCTTGTTTGTTGAGCAGTATATGGGGTCTTAAAAGATTGTGGGAAGTCACCTAATATACAAGACTGGTCTCTATTTGTATGGACCAAAAGAGAATGAAGGGAATTAAAGGCTCCAAGAAGAAACTAGTCAATAGTACTAACAGCTCACACAAACTCCAGCCTCTTCTAACCTGAGACCAGAAAAACTAAAATAGAATCCGGCTCCCACTACTGACTGTTCTGACCAAGAACACAACTTTGTTGTTAAGTGCTATCGAGTCAATTCCTAACAACCCTATACAGGGTTTCCAAGGAGAAGCTGGTGACTTTGAACCACCAACCTTGGGGTTCACAGTCCAGTGCTTTTCCTATAGTGCCACACCAGCTAGGAAACGACGCTGTTGTTAAGTACCATCAAGTCAGTTCCGACTCACAGCAACCCTCAACAGAATGGGAGAAAAATGTAGAACAAAACTCAACTTCCTACAAGAGACCAAACCTACTTAACAGAGAGACACACAAGAGAAATCATTGAAACCAGCACCCTCAGATACTCTTTGAACCTGGACTGAAAATATTTCTGCAGGTCTCCACCTTGCATCTATTATTTAAAAATAATAGACAGGTTTTATAAAATAAGTACCATCTCTGTGATTAATCCACTACTCATCTGTCATTTTGTGGCACTGTTACAGCTTGCATGTTGCTGTGATGCCAAAAGCTAGGCCACTAATATTTTGAATGCTGGCAGGGTCACCCATGGTGGAGCGGTTTCAGCTGAACTTCTAGACTAAGACAGACTTGTAAGAAGAGAGGTAGACAACTTTCTGAATGTTTAGCCACTGAAAACCTTATGAATAGCAGTGAAATAATCCCAGATAGCACAAGACTATTGGATATTGAATATGATGAGTAACACCAAAATACTGTCAGGTGTAGTGCCGGAAGATGAGACCCTCAGGTTGGAAGGCACTCCAAATATGACTGGGGAAGAGCTGTCTCCTCAAAGTAGAGTTGACCATGATAAAGCGAATGGAGTAAAGCTTATAGAAACTTCATTTGTTGATGGGGCACAGCTCAAAATAAAGAGAAACAGCTGTAAACATCCATGTCAAAAATGAAATGGAACACATAAAAATCATGTCCTAGGCATTACTGAGTTGAAATGAACTAGCAATGGCCATTTGGAATCTGACAAATCACATTTACTATGTTAGAAATGAAAAACTGAAGTGGAATGGCATTGCATTCATCATCAAAAAGAGTATTTCAAAATCTATCTCAGAATATAATGCTGTCTGTGATAGGATAATATTCATAAGCCTACAAGGAAGACCAATTAAGATCACTATTATTCAAATTTATGCACCAATCACTTAAGCCAGTGATGATGAAACTGAAAAAT